ACTCTTTCTGCAGTTAGGACAGCTTAACCGTAAAGGCAAGCAAGGTCTTCCTGTATTAGTCATTTGACTTTAGTAGGTGAGCGTCTATATTATGAAAGAGGCAATTAACATGAAGATGATGATTGCCATAGAGAAAGTCAAGCCATCACAAGCAGACTGAGAGAGAAGCTAGAGAAATGGTATAGCATAAAACAGAAGTGTGGCCGAATGCACGATGGCAGAGGGGAGAGCATCTTTCACAGAAGATCCTTGCCAAATGCTAGGTCCTTTCCTTTCCAGTTACCACCTCTAAAGGTGTTATCCCCTTAGGATGCTTTTGTTACGCTTTAACACACAGCAGCTACACTGTGCAAATTAGAGAGACGGGCAGGTATTAGCCTGGACTTTAAAGTGCAGAATGGTGGTGTTGATAACTGGCTGCTTCTGCAGAACTGGGCATATTGCTTTGTGTCTTACACACTCTGGGACACTAAGCACACTCCAGTTCTTGGAAGGTAGCTCAGCGTTTCCCAATTATTGCTTTTGTCATCTTGTAGCTGTAACCTGAGTTCCTTTAATCCTTGGAATACCAATCCATCGGATAGCATCATCATCAACTTGTACGGAAATCCCCTGTTATGCGACTGCCAGCTCTCCTGGCTGCTCTCCAAGCCCAAGAAAGTTGTGCTGCAAAGGTAAGTGAGTTCAAGGTGATAAAGTAATGCTCTTCAGAATCAATTTAAATGTGTACATTATCTGGGGACAGAACATTCACTAGCATCTAAGTTATTCAAATTCCTTGTGTGTTCTTCGCTTCCACAAGAGGTAGAAATGCAAAATAAAGTCCCCTTCAGGGACAAAGCATGGCTGAATTATACTTGAATGTGGACAAATGCGATGGGCACATGTAGAACAGTAATCAAGTCTTATTAGCTGTGGATTCTACTTTAAGGTGAGAATAGTTTATTTTCTCTCTATTTCGGTTCCTATTTCTCTACTAGCTGGAGATAAAAAATGAGCTGGCTTGGTGGCCTTGATGGGCCAGCACTGGGAGCAGGAACTGGAAGACTTTGCAAGAACTTTAGCAAGTTATTTCCCCCTTGCCCTTGCATTCCCAAAGCCTACATCAGCACAGGCAGTCAGCAAAACCCCTTGCAAATAGCACCAGTTGTCACCTATTGTTTTCATGCTCTCCTACAGTTTTACAGACTAATTACAACAAGCTGTAGTTAAAAGAAGTACTTTGCATATGTATGATCTCTCTTCCTTTTGAGAGAAGGAAGATTTGTCATCCGTAGCTGAGAGAGCAGGGAAGTAGGCTGTTAAAATTAGATTGTTTCTCATCAGGATGGGCTTAGCAGTTGCATTCTTTGCAAAAACATGCAATGTCTGAGTAAAGAACAAACTGAGCTTAGTCATTTGAAAGCACATCCGGTGTCAGCACAGCTCCAGCTGCCTAAACCAGCTGCCTTAAGGATCTTGGGGGCCCTGTTACAGCTCTCTGCATGCGTTCCCCCCTCCTAGTGTGCCATTAAACTCCGACCCTTTACAGGTTGCCTTCAACCCCGACACTCTTGTTAAGCTTCACAGTCCTTGTAGCAAAGGATGCTTCCTCTCAGGCAAAAGATATTCCTGCACCTTACAAAACCGAAAAGCCAGTCAGCTAAGTTCCCAGTGCTGTGGAAAGCCATCTGCCAAGCACAGGACTATTGCTAAGACAACCTAGCTTTGGTCTAGGTTTCACGTCTTCTTTAATATAAAGACTGTTTTGGGACAGCAGGTTGCCAATTCCAATCCAAGCAGCCTTACAGGAGCCTGTAATGTTCTTGTGGATCTTGTCTACTCTAACTTGTTCCCTCTGCAGGGCTTGGGAGACTTTCTGCAACGCATGGCAGGAAGATTGGGGCAGACCTTCAACATCTTTTTCACTGCTAGAGCTCTACGATAAATGCGAGTCTGAGAGAAACGTTACGCTGCCAGATTCAAACACACCGTCTCCCGAACACGATGCTTTCAGCCTTACCAGTTACAATGCAACTACTGTAGTAACAACAACAGACTTTGCTCTGCTACCCAACGATACCTACACCAGCTCCCTACTTCAGAGGAATGTAATGAGCACGATGGCAGCCAACCCAACTGAGCCAGTGCTCACGAAGGCCAACAGTTCCTCCCACGAGGAGGAGGCAGCTTCCGAACCCACGAGCCATCCCCCTTCCTTCGCGTCCATAACCACCTCCCGGGGTTTTCGCAAAGAGCTCTATAGTCACTCCTCAGATTACGGCTCCACAAGTCAAACTGAAACAGATCAGCTAAAGAGAGAGCTCAGAACGACCGATGCGACGTTTCCCCAGGAAGGCCCACTCAACCAGCCCACGAGTGACTATTCTACCAGAGCAACAGGAAACCCCGACGCCACTGACCATTATACCCACGCCTTTGCCACTCACGCTGGGGAAGGTACACCACAAACGAGCCTACCACAGCTGAACTCCACAAGGACCAATGCTCGGTCAGAGCCTGCATCCACCAGATCACTGATACACTTTGTAGATGACTACGATTACGATGAACAGTCGATGGAAACCCCAGTGCAAGTGGCATACACCTCCTGCGACTACAACCCATGCAGGCACCTTCAGAAGCCGTGCAGTGAACTTCAGAGTGCCTCCCAATGTTTATGTCCTGGCATGTCGAGGGAAGATGAGGTTCCAGATCCACCGAGGCTCAGAGAGGTCTCTGAAGTTACAGACAGCTCTGCACAGATACACTGGTGCGCCCCAAATTCAGTTGTTCACACCTATGAGCTGACGCTTCATGCCCAAGGCCAGGAGGACAGACAGTTTGTCCTGGACAATATTTATTCCACAGCAAGGCAGCACACGCTGTATAATCTGTTACCGTACACCACTTACCACATTTGCGTGACTGCTTTCAACAAAGCAGGGTCAAGCCAGACAGCAAGTCAGGGAATTCCAGATAATTCGTGCACCAGATTTAAAACAAAACCCAGCTACAAGTCTGTCTTTGCTGCTCTGTCTGCAGCAAGCGGATTCTTTCTCATTTCCACAATTGTTTTGTCTGTATGTCTGTGTAAGGCATGTAAAAAGCCTCAGAGCGAGCAATATGGTACGCATTTAGTCTCTTATAAGAACCCAGCATTTGATTATCCATTAAAACTACAAACCACTAATTAGCTCTAGGTGATTGTTCTACACATTCAAAGCTCACTGTCTCTATCACCTTGGTATGTTTTCGTGAGACTCTCAAAATGTTCTCCAGCAAAACTATGAAACATCAGACTTCATAGCCCTTATGTTTCTAAGGGAGAGAAAAACATAAAAAAAAGAGAAAAACTAATAATGAAGGTAGTCAAACAGAAAAAAGCCTTTGGACTCTTATTCACGTGCTAAGCGGCAGCAAACCTGGACACCAACCTTGAAAAGTTGTTTTTATAATCACCTACAAATATCCTAGCATACGTTTCACACAGTGAGAGGCTGCCTTGCCAGCTGCCTGCCTCCAGTCTCTCTCACGGATACAGTCCACTGACAGCCATGATCCAAGATGCATCTAGCTAAGCAAGATAGGCTCTGCTTTTATTCACATAAGTGAAGTTGGGTTTTCAGTTTCTTTTGATGTCCATATAAAGGAATTATCCAAAAAGAGAGTACTACTGGAAGGAGTGAGAGAAAGGTCTCCTTGGGCTCAGCGGCGAGGTGCTGTGCAGATCTAACTCCAGTAAGTAACTCTGGTGACTGCAACTGCTCAGCCCAACTTCAGTTCAGGAAAAAGAAACATGAAGATTAATTGTAAAAAAGGACAGTGCAGGATCCTCGGGGCAGGGATAATTGTTTTGTTCTGACTTGGTATGATGTTTTCCACAACTGAGGCTCCCGAGTGCTACCACAATACCAATTTACAGGCAGGGAGGAGTTTGCCGTACAGCAGTAACCCACAGAAGGGGGTCACGTTAGCATTTGCTTCACAATTGATTTCAAGCAGAGATGATTGCTCAGTCCCATCTACAGATTCAGCAGGCTGATGGTTTACCTCATACAGTGGCAAAGAGCCAGGGAATGAAACAACTTAATGTGCATGTTGCTGAGACTTGAAAAACTGAAATCCCATCCACTAGCAGCAGACAGTTACGCAGACATTTTTCAAATGTACTTTTGGGTGCTAATTTCTGCTACAAAAATAATAAGAGATGCTGAGAACCCCGGTTCTTCAGCAGCTTTGAACTTGCCATTAAAATTCAAAGAGATGTTTGTGTAAGGGGAGGTGTTTGTCCCAATCAAATACTTCCTATTCAGAGACTCAGAGGTTTATGTTCCAGTAGCTGCATGCTTCTGCTGCTGTATAGATAAATACGTAAAATCCCCCCAGATGTCAGAGTGTGAAAGGTGCTATACAGTGTAAAAGAGTCCCTGTGCTGTTCATTTTTTTTTTAATGCTTCCAGTATTAATGGAAATAAAAGCTACAGAGTTGAGTTCTGGTTCTTTGTTAAAGACCTTGATCTTTGTGTTGTCTTTACCATCTACAAGGTTTAGCCCGAGAAATTAACTCAAACATTTTGTTGTTTTGGAACAAACTTTCCGCATATAGTAATGTTTTTATTACAGTGGATTTGTGTTATCTGACTTCCTAAGAGCTTTCATTTTGTATGTGCACGAGGTGGCCTGTGCCATCCTCACCACTACAGGCTTGCAGCCCTTCCGTGCAAGTTCGTCCCTTCCCCTACACCACTGCTGGGAATGACACCGTCATTGGACGGACGCTCGTTGCAAATTCCTGCCGTGCCGTCCTGAGCCCCGTGACTCAAACTCACAAGAGAAGTAAAATGCAAACGGAGAACCCAGGATTGCATCACCTTTCACTTTGAAAATCTCTTTTATTTTCACATTCTGGTATTTCAGACCTTTCTTTGTTTGGACTTGGTTTTTCATATTTATTTCCGGCCTGGTTTTTCCTGCATTTTCTGGAAGGTCTAGTGAACAGGCGCAGATGATACGTTAACATCATTTGAAGCGAGCAGGAACCTTCAGTCTTTGACTCATTATTCCAAACTGGGGCAGAGATCATATACTCCCTTGTGTTTGTACAACATAGCTCTAAGAGACCTTGACTGGGGTCTTTGGTATTACCAGAAACAAAGCAGAGCAAAATAAGAGATTTGTGAATAGCAATTTATACAGTCTCGAAGATCAGCTCTAGAGGAGGACAAAAAAGATACTCCAACTGAAAATAAAGATTGTTCCGGCTTAACTATGAGTTAGTCCAAAGCAACAGGACATCATCTAAAACGAGATTTTGAGAGGATACGTCTAACTACCCTTTACAACACTGCAACTCATAACCACTGCAACACCTAACTAGAAAGCCACAAAGCTCAGCAGATCTGCCAGTAACAGGATTTGAGTTCCCCAAGGGTCAGTGACCAGGGGACACTCCAACCTGACACTACCCAGAAGCACAACCTCATACCAACCTCAGTTATCACAACTCATTTCTCCAACCAATTCTCACTCCAGCCTCTCCTGACTTTTCACAGGTCTTCACTGCCTTCAAGCCAAGGCAACGTGTCAGAGCCTCCCATTCTTTAAAAGTGCCCTTCCTGGGAGCCAAACATATTTAAGTACCACTCCCACATCCCCCACTTGCTCCAACTTAAAGTAACCCTCAACAGCCCAGTCTCATCTGGGCTGATGAACCGTCCTGAAGCACAGATTCTCCAGCCAGGGGTTGTGCCTCTCTCTTGCCGGATCACACTCCACCCTTTCACAAGTAGGATCAAAGAGGTTTAGCAGCAAAAACATGGGATTTTTATTTATCAACACCTATGGTAAGTATCAGTGCTTCAGGTGCAGAAGTGCTTTTTTCCCCCCCCCCGACTACCACTTTATAGTTTCACCAGAGTTTATTTTAGTAATGACCAACTTAACTCTGTTCACTTTTTTTCTCTATTTGAATCAGTGCTTCTCTTATTTCACTTTTTCCTGACACTTGTGCTAAGCTACAACCACTCTTCCTTGGATATATTTTATATCTATACATTCTGAAATAATTTTCAAGTTACGAAAACTAATGGCTTTATTCTGCTGTACTTCAAAAATTCCAGCTTGGACGAAAAAGTCCTCCCCTGTATTCCCACCCAGAACTCATGTGTCTTGTAAATAGCTGCTGCAGCCCAAGAACAGGTAGAATGACAATTATTCAAAGGGGCAACTTTCATTTAAGTCACAGTATTTTCAAAGTAAGTATTCAAGTATAAAACCTTTCTTTAAAAGCACTGCCTTACTGCTAGTTCTGAAAACCGATGTATACTTCTAGAAAAACTGAATCACCACATTATCCCCTCTAGATTTTTTATTGTAGCTGCACCCACTGATTTAGAAAGTAAACCCTAAAAAGCAAGCAATATTTTAATCAATAGGGTAAAGTTATCTTGAAGCCCATTTTCTGGCTTCTACATAATCCAAGTATAACTGCAGAAAAAAATTAATGTCATCCCCATTCCCCAACCTCAAAACCCAGAGCTGTCATTCTTGTAAACACAACTAATAACCAGTTTGGACATTTCCTGTATTTTCATTACTGTAGATCGACACAAGAAGCAGAGCTGGAGCTCCCAGTGCTGCTTGGGACTGAGGCAGTGAGGAGAGCAACCAGGGAGCCAAATGGAAACTTTCCCACCCACGCATAAAGCCATGTTAAAAAGTCGCCCAGCCCTGCTCTGCTCTGCCCTGCTCTGCTCTGCCTGGTTGTTCTGCCTCGTCTTCCTGTTTGCACCCAACATCCTGTTTGTACCTCCAACTCCAAAGACATAAACCTTTGGCAGCGTGACTGGGATACCCAAACATCTCTGAAACAATTTTAAAAGCTAACAAAAGCCAACCCATTAAAAAAAAAAAAAAATCTACTTACTGTTTCACAGTTCAACAGTTGTCCTCTTTCTCTGTGAGAGGAAGATCACTTGGGGGAAGCGCAGAGAGCATTTAAATATGTTTTTTGACAAGCTTGTGTAATCTTTTTATGGCTTTTCTTCCTAAGAAGAAATTAGCTGCATTCCTCAGAACCTTCTCCATTCACTTGTCAATGTTTTTCTTCTTTCGACAGAACCAAGTTCAAGCAAAGGAAGTCCAAAATAGGCAATGGTGCCTGTGGGTGCATCCCCTGGGTGTCATGGCAGAAGTGCATGCTGCTCCATCTCTAACTCAGCATATGAAAATCAGTCACTGAGTCTCATGGAGTCTCCCAGCAGAAACACTCTGGGAAAAGGAGCTGATCCCTGAAAAGGCCTCCATACAGGAAAAAAAAGCAGCTCTTTTAAGGGCCAGAACCCATGCGGGCAAAGGCCTTGCTGGCTGTGAGGGAACAGAGAGGGAGCAGCTTGTCTTTGGTACAACAAATGCCATTTAGAGAAGCAGTCACCGAGAGCCCTGTCCTTGGCGGCAGAAGCAGGCGGGTGGGAAAGCCCAGAGCAGCAGGATGAGGCGCTTCAGCCTGATCCCCCTTGGTGACAGAAGGGAGCCTGCTTTTGAGATCTGTCCCAGGCCAGAGGCGTGAGAGGCATTTAACGGGCCAGCTGGGAGACGATGCAGCCCAAAGCGAGGAGCTCACATCATACCACTGCCTTTACCAGCCTCTTCGTGAAAGGATGCAAAATCAAACCACCATGCTCACTCGGCAAGCGCTGCACTGGCACAGACGTACTCCTCCGCAGTGGTCTCCAGAAAAACTCATTCACGTGGTGTTAGAAATGAGGATGCCTCTGAGGGTTCAGGATCTTGCTTATCAAGAAGCATCAGATTCGCACTCTACCTGTGAAATACAGAGATATTTATCACAGGTGCGAACACATTTCGTGTTTGCGGAAACAGATACTCAGAACATGTTTAAACTCCTGGTGCTTTTTCTTTTTATCAGCTGTCCAAAGCATGCAGCGTTTGTTCTGAAGCAGGGCAATATATTACAACAGTAATCCCAAAAAGTTATCAAGCAGGACAACAAATCACAATATTCTTTTGAAATACATTCAGGAAACAATCCCTTACAGCAAGGCCGGTGTTCTGCTGTCATCTAGAGGGAGAGGGTGGAATCATCTCCCCAGGTACTAACCCACATGGAAATACTCATTCTTTCACCAAAGAACTTCAGCCTGCACCCTACAGACCACGCTCACTAACTTACTCT